CTAGGACTCGGTCATCAGGGAAGCCCGACCCGATAGCCTCGCTTTTCGCCTACGCTAATATAGAAAACCGCTGTTCAACTAAACCACGGGCGCGGATCTGGAATGAGAACTGATAGAGCACACTATTTAACGCATTGTTCTTGCTTCTGACAGGTTTCATAACAACAGTGTGATTATGGTGGGAAAATCTACCCGGATGACTTGTTGGGGATGTTCTCTCTCCAGTTGTTACGATGTGAAATGCAGCAAATTTGAGTCACTTCCGATTTAAGAAATTAACTATGTCAAAAAAAAAACTTACTATTTGCAAGTTCAAGGAAGTCCTTCCTAACGGCACAAATATGTTAAATCTGTGTAAAACCTGTTTTTAAACATTGGCATCTTTCAATTGTTACTTGTACCGTGCAAGGTTGATTTGGAAAAAACCGCCATTCATGTAACTTCAGGGGAAGAAACAATGGCTTTGAAGCAGTCTGGCATTGAACGAATAAAGCTGTTGATAGTATCGTAATATCACCATATCTTTTTTTCGAGATCCTGAGATACAAACAAATACTAGAAGACTTTGGATATGTTTTGTTAAATGTTTTGCTTTTTTGTTGTCACATTGCGTTCACGTAAGTGCTTGTTGAGTTGCGACTGAAATGGCCTCTGTAGATAATGTTCGCCCAGTTTCCCGGTTGGGTTCCGTTAGGTCGCTATGTTGTGAAACAGGTGGCGGACATTTTGCCTTTAAAAAAAGGCTGTTAGAGGACTTAATACGTGAAATCGTTGTGATATGATTATTTCTAAACCACATTAGTGTAAACAGTGTTCCCAAATGGCTAGAAACTCAAGATATTTTAAATTCCTGACTTTATACTGAGTAAACACTCTCATTTAGTTTGCATTGAATATCTGTTACAGAAGCAAATAATTTACTTCCATTTTACCCAAAGGGGGAAATTGAACTCAATCAAAGTGAGAGAGAAAATCAATTTAATTTGTGATATGAATTCGATACAAAAATGTGATTTGAAGGATAAACACCAGTAGATAATTGGAAAATGATTGTTGTAACAAGGAGCTCAGTAAGAGCGCATGCTGCCTTGCCGTTATGAAGTGAAAATGAGAAATGAATTACTAGAGTGCCTTGGAAGAGACAATTTGGATAATGCACGGTAATTTTCTTTAGGAATTAATTTATTGTGTAAAATGAATGTAGATTTGATTGCAATAAAGTCGTTATCATTTTGCGTTATCATTTCTGCCATGTGCTGTTTCGTTCAGATTATCAGGAATATCGTTCCATATGTTACGCCTCACCGACAACTGCAATCATCGACAGTTGTGACTCGAAGCCCTTATTGTGGCCTCCTATTCAAAGTTTGGTCTCTTTCGCTATTACCTCAAGAACGAGGTTGAATGGCCCCCAGTCTCTCAGAGAACGGAAAGTACTTAATGAGTAGAGGCAGGGTGGATTAAACCTTCAAGGCACCAATAAATTCTTCGCCCTTGAAACAGGCTTATTTCTCAGAGTATACAAATGTATGCGATACTATTAGGATGTGGAAATGAGTTTCTGAAAACCATTTCCCTTTCAGCGGTTTCCAGTGCTAATAGTAGTAATGATGGTGATGATAATATATAATTTAAGAGGAGACCTCCATCACTCTAAATGGTTGTCAAGGGAGTTCTTCTAAAGAATAGGTGATTCACAGGGTAATAAAACAACACCTGAAATGTTCCTTAAAAGCTCAGAGTTTCCAGATGAAGACCAGAAAGAGAGGTGAGAGAGATTTTTTTTAGAATTGAGTTGTCGACGATAGAGTTCACGATCCCCTCTGGCTAGAAAACACGCAGACGAAGGCAGGATGGAACCTGAAGGGAGTATAACGACAGCAGAAAATTAGCTGCAGTGAATTCCAATTTACCTACAGGAAAAATCATTGATCGTTTAGTTTAGCTAACTGTGTTTGGCAATGGTTTGGACACTTACCGCTTCTCTAAAACTCCTTGGGTTTAAATCAAAATACACAATTTTTTAATAGCTGTGCACAATCAGAACTTTATTTATCACTGGGGCATTTAAGAATACACAAACTGGTTTCCTGGTCTTTCAACAGAGCTCTAACAGGGTTTCCAGAAGCTTTAGGAAAACCATAACATGTCAGTTCGTTGAAATTAATGTGGCTGCAATCTGGTGATTGGTGAATCATCTAGCCACCAATTCTTCGGTTAGCTAAAGACAAGACAGCCTCATGATACAGTTTCTGTTTGTTTACGTCGTACAAGTTTTCTACTTTCCAAGCAGTAGATGATAGGCACAAAGGCTATTTTCACTCAGGTCTCCTTTCTTTCATTCAACATGAACTGAGACTCAAGTGTCCTTTAATAAATTTTTCTGGGACACCAGTTGTTTATAGACCTAGCTTTTCTCTTATTGGATATGGTACAGTTATGACAACCAAATGTTACATTTTTTTTCCTTTTTTTTAAATTTTTTCTCTCTTTAAACTTCAAACGCCAGGACATTAACTATAAAAGCACTAAAAACAGAGCACATTACATACAGATGCCCCCTGAGGATTTATTTGTCACTATCTTCTGACAAACTGTCATACTGATCATCTTCTGACTCCTCTGTAACACCAGCCTCCTCTCGTCCCTCAGCTTGTGCTTTATTAGCATCTGGAATCCACAAACCAGAGTCAATGCATTGTCGTAGGTACATCTTAGCTTCTTCTTCAGGCATTTTGCCGAGAACTTCTTGTAGCATGGGGATATCTTTTTCTTCAAAGCATTTCTGAAGTTCCTGAAGCAGACACAAATATTCTTTTGTTAGTGAGCAAGGGAACCCAAAGTATATACAATCAGTTTCTCTCCATTTAAAGAAGCAAAAAAATATACTTCAATTAGACAGGTATTTGGGCAGTAAGATTGGTTGATCTGCCATTTGCTGGTTAATTACAGTGTAGTTGGCTAATGTCCAATTTAATCAGTCTGTCAATCAGGTACTGAGTCCATTTTTAGTCAGAAATTCTTTACATCTGTCTTAGTAAGTCCGGCCATCAGTCAGTCAACAAGTTAGAAAATTCCCCATTCAGTAAATTGGTTTGTTAATCAGTCAGCCTGTCAGTAAATCAGAGGCTCTGTCAATCAGCCAGTCAGTAGGTTGATTAGTCATTTTACAGTCAGTCTGTGTCGGTCAGCTATGTAGTCAGTAAATCTTTTTCAGTTAGTCAGGCAGTTATTTATCAGTCATGTCTGTATTAATTGGTCAGCAAACGTGTTCGTAAGTCAGTCAGCCAGTAGGTCAGTCCCTGAGTACATCAAACATTAGAACTGTAGCAATGGAGAATGGCTAAAGAGGAACCTTTATGATCAGACCCCTAACTACTGTGTGCTGTAAAGCAGCACGTGCTGCATAACACAATTCAAGGCTACACTTACTGGGGGTAATGAATCAAACACTTCCACCGGATCCAGTCCTCCAGGACCAAGTCTCTGTTGGCGTTCCTCCTAAAAAGAACAATTATAACTGGTTGAAATAAAAACAGAAACTCTCTTAACATGATGACCTAAGTGTTGTTCAAATTCTGTTTTATTCTGTCTAGCCAGTTCATTAATGTGCCATTGCCCTTTTGCAAAGTAAACTACAACCAAACTCTTTGCACTAAGAAGGTACAGTGACAATTTGCAAATCCAAGACTATTAATAGCTAAACCTCTTTTTCTCAATGAATTTGGTTTATTAGCAAACAAAAATGCAAAGTAATAATATAAGCAAAATTAAATATGCAAATTACACTGTATTATTAAGACTAAAAATAACTTGTTTTTTTAACAGTTACACTGCTAACAGATACACATCTGTGAGCAATTTTAGAAAAAAAAAAAAGGAAAATGAACTAAATTAAACATATTTTTCTTAAGTGACAACTACATGTAACAAACATCTTTACCATACAAATAAAGTATCAGACAGGTGTGCACAGACAATCTGCCCATAGTTTGCATAGCCTAACCTCTTCGGCTTCCTTCATAGCCTTATCAATGCGGGCTTGAGCTCTTTCCTTTACCCTTAGCAAGAATGATTTAAGTTCATCCTCAAATGCGTCCATGTATTCTTTATAGTCTACTTTTGCTTTCTTCATCCTTTGAGATAAATGGGAACAAAAATGTAACTGTTAGTAATGTGGAAAAAACAATTAAGGAAGACAGTCAGAATAAATTTTAAATAAGATCCTAGGAGCGAAAGGGTAGTCCTTGATTTTAAATTTTCTATCTTCATCTCCTCTGAAAGTGCAGGCGACTCAGAATTTGAGAGATTTTAATCAATAAACTGCACACATGGGTATGGGTCCAACAGTTGTCTATAAAGAAATTCAATACTTACTTAGTGAAAAAGCTGCGAATGGTGGCTGGTGGACTGGCATCTAATGACTTAGCTAGCTCCAGTATATACTGCATAATGATGGTCTGATGAGCAACTCGCTCCATCAGGGCATGTTTCTAATGAAGAAAAAGACAGGCTGATATACAGGAGTATGTAAATCCTCCTTGTAAACTATGGCATTAGGTATAGGTGTCTTTAACAATACATGGGGTATGTGGGGAGGTTGATTTTTGAAGGGCCAATTACTGCCAAGGCTTAGCAATGGTTTCTGTGGCATGAAGCAACAGGGCATGTATATACTCCTCTCGATAGATGGAAACATTTCATGTACATGGTACACTATACAAGGTCACCAAAATATCAGACAAAAAAATTGTAGAACCTTATTGTAAGTGGCAAAGAATGTATACAGATCACTGCCTCAACCCAGAATGTAATTTGTCATTACTTGAACAAATATTTGAATAATCACACTTCTTACAGACCACTGATATTATTACCTCTTGAACTTCCAAGTTGATGCACCACAAAGCCAGGTAGTTGGCAGTGTCCTCACAAGCCAGGTGGGGATTTTTCTGAAGATAATCTTCACTGTCATGATATTCATGCAACATTCCAAAATGTTCTATTTCTTTCTTGTACTTATCCATAAAGGCTTGCTAAAAAATCACACAAAGGGAGAAAAAATCATGAAAATAAGTTCAAGTGTGTGTTATGATGTACCATGAGTTTAGTTATTCCAATAAGTCATTGGGCTGGAGAAGAATTGCCAAATGTCAAATTTGTATTGCTCTGATTTCTCTTTAGGTTGGCCTTTGCTATCATGATTGTCACTTTTGATGCCTTGGTTGTTTATTACCTAATTTCATTAATTTATCATCTCTTACAACATTGCCCATCATGCTACAACTGACTTTAATTTCTCCCAAGCTATTTGAGGTTTTCATACATACATAGTGGGGGAAATGGAGATAACTCATCAACAGAGATGATATTGACCCTTTAACTCCCAGGAGTGACAAACATGTGACTTCTCTCAATCAAATCGATACTGTATCCAGCCAACAGGTCACGAGAGTATTCAAACTTATCAGGTAGAAGTTTTAATCTTGATCGAACTAGTAATTAGTTTACAAGGAAATCTGTAGCTGCCATGAAGGAGGATTAACAATCAGATGTTGGGAGTAAAAGGGTTAGGCTGGGAAAGTTTTCAATTAAAATTACATGTACTGTGAGTTTACATGGCAAACATGACTGAATTCTAAACAAAATAAAAAACATATGGCCTAAAAACTAGTAAGACAAAGTAAAAGCTTCTAAAAACACTGTATTGTAGTTTTCCAAGAGCCCAAAAGTGGTTGACTTAAGTTTCAACACTTTCCACAGACAATAAAAATAGCAAGCAAGTCAAGTGTCTTTAAAAGTGTTATTTTTGAAAAATGTAGTGAACATCAGAAGAATGACAACAAAAAAAAATTAAAAGTTGCAAGTTAAGGGCATAAAAACCAAAACAGTTCAGACACAGACCACTAGTTATATACACTGCACTTACTGATCTGTCTAACTTTTCCTCTTCTGTTAAATTTTCATCCTGTTTCTTTGGAGCGTTTATAATCTTGGTAAAGAACAACAGATAGATAGTTAATTCCCTTAAGATTGCCATATCTTGGAATAAATTGGTTGAAAGCATGTTAACAATCACAGAGTCCTCAGTTTTATGAATTTCTCTTCATGTCAACTTACTGTTCTGGTGAATCCAGCCTGACTCAATGTGTCCACATTCTTTGGAGCTTTCTGCAAAACAAATCAACATAATTGATTTGTGCATGAAAGCACAGTAATATCCAATATTGATTATAAATTCAGACCTACACCAAGTGGGCACCCACTAGGAGTGACAGGGTTACCACTTAAAACAGGTTTTACAGAAGAGGGATACTATAAAATATGTAAAAAAAATACCATTTAATGTACAAAACCTCCCTCAAAAATACTACTAACATTGATTTTGGGAGATAAACATGGATTAAATTTACTTGAAAGATCATTCTTAGTTTTACTTGGGAATGAGTGGTTTTGCTCTAAGTGATCATACAGTACAGGTGGGAGACAGTACAAACAGGCTGTTGGGACTCAGCAAAGGATGACCATGAATCAGGTGACTGCTTAACCCTATTCGACATGTAAGTACTGACAAGGAGAATTTGTTTCACAATGAAGAGCATCTTGGATTACTGATCATTTCCTTTGATCTTGTGACTTTAAAGTGTGATTCTGGGGGGGGGGGG